GCCGTCAGGCATGTCAATGCTCAGGCAGTCAGGGTGGAAGGCTGCTGGGCAGGCCTCACAGCACAACAGGCTGCCCCCTGCAGAAGGAGCGGCTGGTCAGTGCTGGACACAACAGGTGGGCCCAGGCCCTGTCCACAGCCCGCAGCGATAGACGCCTGGCTGAGACACTGGCGGCGAGGCAGCACCGTCAGCTAACACCAAGCAACAACCCCAACAGTCACAGCTCTCAACTGCTGACGTCCAGCCCATCACGTGGAGACCACCGAGTGTGTCAGGTGCATGTGGAGCACGGTGGACACGTGCCACTCTCTCACCTTTGGAGCACACGAAGCACCAGCTCACATTGACATGGGTGTGGTGCCGCTTGCCCTTCCGGGCGGTGAAGTGGCTAGTGCAGATGATGCTGTTGGAAGCAATCACTGAGCACCCTGCGGCCAGGCAGGCGTCTCCTCCGTGATAGGCAACGGGGCAGCGGACACAGCGCATCATTTTACCTGGAGGCAAAAGCACCCTGAGCTGAGCACTGGTGGCTCAAGCCTGTCATCCTCGCTACTCGGGAGGCTGAGGGCTGAGGATCTCAGCTCAAAGCCAGCCACGGCAGGAAAGTCTGTGAGACTCCTATCTCTAATTAACCACCGGAAAACCACAAGTGGAGCTGTGAACCACATAAGAGAGCTAGCCATGGGGCTGGGAAGGTGGCTCAGTGGTAGAGCGCTTGCCTTGCATGCTTGAGACCCTGGGTTCTATTCCTCAGCACCACATAAGCAAAAAGAAAAAAGCCGGAAGTGGCACTGTGGCTCAAGTGGTAGAGCGCTAGCCTTGAGCTGAAGAGCTGAGGGACAGTGCCCAGGCCCAGAGTTCAGGCCCCATGACCGGACCCAAAAAAAAAAAAAGAGAGCTAGCCTTGGGCATAAAAGCCCAGCGACAGCACCCAGGTCCTGAGTTCAAGTTCCAGGACTTACAGCACACAGACACAGACGCATAAAGACCAGACACACCAGACGCGCGCGCGCACAGACACACACACACACACACACACACACACACACACACACACACACACACACACACACACACACACAGGACTTACAGCACACAGACACAGACGCATAAAGACCAGACACACCAGACGCGCGCGCGCACAGACACACACACACACACACACACACACACACACACACACACACACACACACACACACACACACACACACACACACAGTGTGCCCTAGCAAGGATCTCATCTGATTTAATTAAGGCTGTTTCCCCAGGGGCTGAGCCCACTATTGAGCAAGAGGCTCTGGGTTCCATCCTCATTACTGCAAAACAAAAAAAGTTTTTCTTATGTATGAAAGGCCCTTAAAGCCCAAACAAAGCAAATCCAAGCAGATGGCTCAAAGAGAGCCCCTCTTTAAAAATCACATATCCTGAAGATGGTATTTGAGGAGGAAAGAAGAGAACGAAGTGCAGGTCCAGCACCACAGAAAAACTAGTGCCACGTCAGCAGAAAAAAAGACAGGAGCTGCTAGTGACAGTCAAGGGACCACAGCCTCTGGCAACAAGGCCACCTCCTGAATCCACACTCAAGTAAGAAAGCCTCCCACCCCCCTTCCTCGCATCCTACCTTTCGAAGGCCGAGGGTTAGACGGGTTGGAGGCATGGCAGCTCACGCAGCTGTGTAGCGGACACCGGAAGCCCCGGCTCTCAAACACGGTGAGGGGGTACTGCTTCACACAGGCCTCGTGGTAAAACTTCCCACACTGAGTTACAACACAGCGCTTCACCTCTGTCTTGCTCTCCTTACACACGAAGCATGAGTGAATCCCTAACACAAGGTTAAAGGGGCGGAGAGGAAGGTATAAAGAAAAAGGATTAAATTGCCACGAGAGGTGAGCGAGAGCGACTGGAGGAGGCGTGCGTGGCGCGGAGGCCGCTGCTGTCTCCGACCTTACGGACGGCCCAGGTGCTGTTTAGAAAATCCCAGCCTTGGGGCTACCTCTCGGCCTGAGCATCAGCTTCACCCGAGACACAGTAAAGTCACTGCACGGCTGTGGGCCGAGCTGCAGGAGCTTGCAGAGGCTGAGTTCTCTGCACCACAAAACTTCCTTCTCTTTCCTGGAAGTTGCCGCTAAGTGTGGTGAAGAGGCGCCAGGACACCCGGTTGAGGGGCTGCTGAGGGCTGCCGGGCACATGGCTCTCCGGCCTGACGTGGTTGCAGGCAGAGCCAGCTGCGAGCAGAGGCCACAGAGGGTGCAGCTCATCCTCCCACTGGGACCCCAGCCCGCAGGGAGGCCTGAGCGCAGGCTGACACATACCACTCTCCTAGGAGAGTGGTGTCCTCGGAACCCAACAGACACCTACAGTCCCAGCCCTGCCTGTAGGCTCAGGCCAGGCCGCTCAGAGGCAAGGGCATGACTCAACAAGCAGTCTGCCACTCAAGCAGTAAAGCCTACACTTGCTGGACGGGCACCAGGAAAACAGAGGTAATGGCAGAGCCGGCGGGGGTACACGACGCAGGACCCCCAGCCTCCAGAGCCAGGACTTGCCTGAGGCACACTCGCGGCAGGTGAACCTCCCTTCCGGTCTCCGGGGCAGGCCGAGGCAGGAGAGGTGGAAGGCGCCGCAGCACGGGCCCTCGCACAGCAGCAGGCTGCCCGTCTTCTCACACAGCTGTAGGGACCAGAGGGGCCTTGAGCACACCTGGCCGGGCTTCTCCCACCCTCCTGACCACAAGGACCGCGCAGCTCTGTGCCTCACACGCAAAACCCCACTCTACTGCACACACCAAATGCAGCCACCTGTACTGCCACACCCGGGAGGAGAGGATCAGAGCCAGACAGAGCGTGACAGAGAGGGGCCGGTCCCTCAGCAAGGCCTGGAGCCCTCCAGGTCACCTTCTACGTATTTCAGATCAGTTGAGAATCAAGAAAACCCTCAATGTTGGTTGTGTTGTTTTTTTTTTTTAAAACAGAGACCCACTGTTCCACAGGTGACAGGGCCTGAGCTGTGGACCAGTTCTCAAACGTGGACAAGTCAACTTCCACAGGATGTCTGGACTCTTCTCCCTCCTAGGCTTGGGGAAGGGCTGAGACTGAGGCACAGCGGACGAGTTTGGGGAAGGGACACCCACCCAGGCCACTGTCACCAGGCCTGGGGATGTGATCTCAGGCTGTGGCTGGCCTGCTCAGGGTACATGCGAGCAGGGAGACCGCACCACCCCAGCACACGTGCCGTTACTTCACCCTCGGACGCTGCCTCTGGCCAATCCCTTCCACAACAGGCATGGTGGGTGGGGTGGGAGCTAGGGAAGGGTGGCGTGCTCTGCTGTCCCAGGCACCGGTCACTCTCACCAGCAGATCAGATGCTGCCTGCCCCTCACCTGACACACGTACTCCTTTTTGGCGGTTACTCCTCGCTCAGACTTTTTAGATGACGTGGACACTTCGGTCTGTGTTTCATCTGCGCTTTCATATGGAGATTCCGAGGGCTCGTCTCCCGGGCTGTCCGAGACCTGGAGATGAAGGAGGTGGACGACAGTTCACTAGCCACAGAAAACAGTGGGTGGTCATGCCCTTTACACACCTGCCCCAGCCCCGGCTCCTGGGGTGGCACTGGGGATGCACACCACCCACCGGCTTTGGTGGGAATAGTCAGCAGAGCTGTGTAGAGAACTCAGAAACGGACCTCAAGTCGACTCAATATTAAGTACACATATGGATATGAGGAATAGTCCTCTAAAATGAAGTAACTTATGAAAGCCCGATTTTCTCTACTAGATCAACAAAGGCAGGTTCTGAGATCAACATTCTGGCACTTTCTTAGCCAATCTGTTCAAGTCCAGATACCAAGTGTGCTCTTCTGGAAACGTTTTTTTCTACACCGGAGCACTGACCCAAGAGTCAGGACAGACATCCAGCCTTGCGTAAGGACTGGATGCCTGTGCTCCCTGCCCTGGCCAGCGCTGGAGGCTAAGGTGCAGACCCTGAGCAGACCGGTGACTCCAAGGCCACATGACACGGTCTCTTCTCCATTTCAGAGAGCATTAGTTAAGACTCGCACTCAACAAGCAGTAGTGATATTCAAAGGAGTATAACAAAACCTTCCGGCCTAATCCAGGCCTTTAAAAAAAAACTAATTTTGGCATTAGGTAAATAAAGATTGTAAACTAAATTTTGGAGATGTAACAGAAGAAAGTGTAAACGGCCTCTTGTGCACCTCAATAATCCCACGTGATGAGGCATGGATTTGCCGTTTGCCGATGCACACAAGGCTAGATCCTGACACTGGGCCACAATGAGAAACAAAGCCAAACCCTACAAAGGAACATGACCGCTCCTGTGCCTCATCCAAGATTTATCTCACTCTTCTGATTTAGCTCACTGAAGTTACAAGGAGTGGGAGAAGGAACAATCCTTGGTGTCTGGGGACTGGAACTTGGTGTTACAGTGGGCTGTCTTTCCAGAGGCTCCCCTGGCTCCAGTGGAGTGGGGCAGGCTCCGTGAGCACCGAGGGATGGGGCGGAGGGACAGGCAGCCTTCTGGGCTGCTCTCTCACCTTGTGCAGGCGGGTGGGGACAGCATGAAGGGTGCCAGAGCAGAACAGTGTCACGAGGAGGCTGACCAGTGGCGGCTACGGGGCCCCGCCCACCCTCGACCATCAGCTCCTCCCACTCAACATCCAGAGAGAGGCAACTTGACATGCTTGGGTTCAGTGCCCAGCCATTACAGATGGGGTCACAGGTGGGGTCGGAGTGCTACTGCACGAAACAAATGGGCACTGGGAGACTGGGGAATCAGGAAGCAGCCAGTGGCCACAAGGGCCTGCTCAGAGAGAAGTGCCCATGGGTGCCCAAAGCCCAAAGAGAGGACCTTCCACACAGATCCAAGCAAAAGAGCCAAAATGCTCCATCCACCAACCCAGCGCTTCCCTTATTGTGGCCAAAACAAATTTAAAAAAGAAAAAGTATGGAAAGAAAGACAGAAAACACAAACCAGTCCTGGGTCAGAGGAAGGAACAGCACCTTTTATTTAAGATTTACAGAAAGTTAGCACGTTTCCACTTGGAGATATTTCCTAAATTAACAAAGTTTGTTTTGAGGAAATAAAACACTGAATACAGATTTTGAATGGAAATATAAATGTTAATGACACACATAAGGCTCTTTTCCTGATGGAATCTGAGATCCACATACAAAATACAGACCTTACAATATCACAGTCCATGACAGGATTGCAGCAGGCCCCACCCTCACCCTCCAGCCCCCCAGCCAGTCAGGAGGGTCCCTCGGCTCTCTGCTCAGCAAACAACTGCAAGGAGAGCCGAGCATGCGCCTCATTCCAGCTGTGGGCTCCACCTCCACGCGCAACAGGCAGCAGGCTTACTCGGAGATGCCATTTGTGGGAGTGACACATCACCTGCCGGTCCCAACACAGTCCCAGCTCTCAGTCTACGACATCTATGATCTACTCCACATCCAACAGGGCGAATTAGGAAAAAGAAAAGTAGCGACTGACCGGACACAGACTGTCAAGAACTTTCCTGTCGCTTCCCGCGTCCACCAAGGCCACATTTTGTGGCACTGATTTCCAAGCAGCTTAGTTCCTGACTTTCCAAAGTTTCCTGGAGTCTGAAAATACTTTCTCCTCTCTATTCAGTATGTGACAGTGCGGAGTCACCTATCTGCCTTAGACATACACTGCTCCAGGGACAGGGGACGCAGCCTCCTCCATCTACCTCAGGGGCTTTCAAGATGGCTTCACCTCAACATGTGACCAGCAGGCATCTTCCAAACACCTGCCAGGAGCAGTGTGGCCACCAGGAGGTTCACCCCATGGCTGCCACAGGAAGCCCACCCCTTTCACGTGCTGTTACACACATCGAGTTTTTAATGGTTTGACAAAACAAATCCCTTCACAAGTTGAATACTACATCATTTAAAAATACAATTACAGACCTTGAACAATAAATATTTCTATAAACCAACAATTGTTTTTTAAGTTATGCTTTTGTAAAGGAAAAATATGATAACTAGAAGTATTTCACAGAATGTTCGGGGTTTACAGATGGCAAGAATCCTGTGCTCAGCAGATATAATGAGCTTCAAATTAAAAGGACTAATCTCAGACAGGTCTTCCAAGTTAACATCACAGTGAAATATTGAGAGTGGAATTAAAATAATTTTAAAGTAAGTCGTTCATCATCTAAAATTACTAAAATTCAGCTTTTTTTTAAATTAAAAATGACCCTTTGGGTTACATAAAACTAGAAGCTTCCCAGCTGCCCCTAAATGCTAGGGTAAGGTTGGGCCAGAAGTTACAGGAACACACGGAAGTGTGCGCGTGCACGCACACACACGCACGCGCACGCACGCACGCACACACACACATTCTAGCCCAGGGAGTGTTGTTGTGCTTCACCTAAATCTACGAGGCTTCTGTGGAGTCCAATAGCCTGAGGAGGACAGCAAGGGGTAAGGGCAGCTGTGGGCACGGTGGTCACGTCTACTGCTCCCACCAAGGCCTGGGCTGGCCGGTCACGGCAGCAGGCCACGTCTTGGTTTGGAGACTGCCAGTTTGCCTGGCTGGCATAGTTAAGCAGCCAGTTCAGGACCCCACCCTATTTCATTTCTATTTTCTGAAAACAGATTATCCCTAGATGATTAGCATGCTCAAAATCCTACCAAAGAGGTGCACAAAAAAATCAGTAACTATGTAGGCTAGAAACAATTACAAACATGGACCTAGCATGGAACCACGCAGTTACATGGAAATCTGACAAGATGAGGCCTGTCATATCGTTACAGGGGTACCCTTGCTGGTAAAAATGCCCCTCAGAGTATGTCTCTCACCCTTCCTGTACAAGCAAGAAAAAGAATGCCAACCCAACTTTTTTTCCTGCTAAGGACAGCCTATTTTTCTTCACAAGCAGACAAATTATAGTGAAATTTCTACTATTCTAGGTAAAACAATAAAAGCAATACCTGAAAAAAATCACAATCAGTATCATTTCTCCAAAAGTCCTAAAATAGACAGGAGTCAAGTATGTTTCTTAAAAACAAAAACCAAAAAGCTTTATAGACGTCAGTAAGAAGCATATTAGGAAAGCCCTTCTGTGGAGTGGTATACAGTTTCTCCAGCAAAGGACAATTTAGACTTCTAATCTGAAAGATAAACAGCAATCCTTTGCAACTTTTTGTTTTTAGATTTTTAAAAACTGAGGTAATTCAACTATTGATTTTCAGAAGCATAATATGCTGCACATTTCAGAGTCTTGCAGAGAAGCTGACCTTCACAGCAGGAGCTGAACTGGCCAGCCACACTAATGGCTGCCTGGACAGAGTACAGTTCCTCAGAACTGGGACCGAGAAAGGAAGCCAGCGTGCTAAACCCGTCCCAACAGTCCCATTTCTCACCTGCACTACAGACAGAGGAACTGTGGCTTCATGTGGCCTTCGTGTGGGCATCTCAGACCCACACAGGTCCCTGAGGTCAGCAATGAATTGCTCACCCAGAGCTCCTGGTTCTGCTCATGCAGGTGGAAGGAAGCAAGGGCCTGCACAGGATGCACACCAGGACTTGAGGATGGACAGCAACTCAGATCAGCACTGCCCTTGACCACGCTGTGAAGCCCTGACCAAGCCCATGGTTCAGTCACTTTAGTTGTGCACAATTAGGTAATATGTTTTAAGGAAACTAGATGCTAAGGTAGAATCTGAATTCTTCTTTGTGGGGCATTTCTGCCACAGACCAGCAGGTGGCAGTCACCACCTATCACCTGGCCATGCCCACAGGCATCCAGAACCAACTGTGGGCTGACAGCGTGGGAGTTACTCATCTGCCATTAGGTGTTTTGGTTTTGCTGTTTTCTTCAGCCTTCTCTCTAGCATGTTCTGCCATCAATGATACTTCCCTCTGCCTCATCTGACCTCTGACCCCAGAGGACCCTGTCTTAAGTTGTCCTGTGCTTCCGTGTGAATTACTTCAACAAAATCCCAGAAATCAGACCGCAGTCTAAGACCTCCCTCCCACACAAGTGAGCTGCTCCCTGCTTAAGAGGCAAGGGACTGACAGATCCCTCCTGCATCACACAGGGCCCCTCCAAGTGAGGTCCTTTAAAGTTTTGCTTCCTTGGTGTGAAGCTTTGCTTAGGTTTCTTGGTTTCCAGGAATATCCTCTTAGCAACGCAGATGGAACTAGATGAAAAGAGCACTAGAGTCTTGAGTGGCACCTACACCTAGAGGTGTCACGACTGGAGAGTGACACTCGCTTTTCGTCAGCTCTGAAGAAAAGCTGCTGGGAGGCAGGAGTCCGTGGGGCGGAGGCGCAGCGTCAGCGCCAGGATCTCGGGGCCCAGCGCTCAGGCCTCTTGTGCCAGCATGTGCATGACAGGCTCGCTCTGGGGTGGCAGAGGGCTCACACTTTTACAGTAGCTACAACCCAAACTGTGATACACTCAGACACGCTCCCCTCTCTGGAATGCCTGGCGTCTTACATGAGAGCTACCTACGCTCTCCGGGCAAACATGGTACATGAAGACGACCTGAACCAAGCCAGTGGGGGCCGCGGGACGCTCCTCCGCATGGCCACGCCATCAGTTCAACAGCTGTGAGGCTAGACATGGGCTGTTCTATTCGGATGTCTTTAGGAAATAAGGAATTCCTGCAGCATAATGCAGGTTTGTGCTCATGACAAACAAGCCGCTGCCTTGCCCACATGCCCTCCTTGGGAGGCTGAGGGCTACACTCTCACAAACTTTGCCACACAGGGGACTATCCCTCTCACTACCTCGATTCCCCCCAGAGTGGGGCGGTGCCTCCCCTCAGCCAGGCCCCTGTGCTCGGCTGAGGGCCCCGCGCATGGCGTGGGCCCCACCAGGCCACTTCGAAGTCCTCACCCCCTCATCAAGGAGGAAATGCCTGCCCACTGGCTGACCCATGATGCACCTGCACACGTGGCTGACCACCTGGCCTCACCATCCACTCAAAACTCATCATGCAGTCATTTCAAGTGAAATCCCTTCGTATTTCAAGTTGGCATTTTTGCTTTTGGGAGACTGCCTGAACCAGGGCCATTTATATGCCATCAGTTTTTTTTATGCCCCCTCCCACTCCCATTTTTTAGTGTTTCTGAGAATGTTAAAAAGACCTACTACTCTCTCTTTTGTGTCCTTTAGGAATAATGCAACTTAGCTCCTAGGACATGTCTGCCACCACGTCTCCCACTACATTTGAGCAGAGCCAGTGGGACAGCTCACCAGCCCATAGCTACAGTCCAGAATCCTACTACGTCACACAAACAAACCTAGGCCTCCGCCACTTTTGGGTTTATTTAGTCTCCACATGCACGATGTAATCAAGAGGATCACTCTTCATGCCAAAGCAACATTTATACTTTTAGATAAAAATGGAATGATGACTTTATTATTTTATTATACCATCGTGGTCACACAGAGCCATGGAGTCCTTGAAAGGCGCTGGACGCCCTAGTGTTTCACATGCTTGGAACGGACACTTTCACACAGGCAGCACACATCTGAGGAGTGCGTTGAGGGCAGCCAGGCACAGTTCGCGTGGCCCCATGTGTGGCAACAACTCTGACTCGAGCTGAAGAGGCGAGTGGAGCCTTTCCTCCCATGCAAACCCGCGACACCTGGGCAGCCATGGGGGGCGCCTGCGGCCACAACACTTAAACAGGATGCCAGTGCTCTACAAAAGCCACTCGGGCTATGGTTGGCATGAGTAACCCATGGCGTCCTCTAGGCAGCAGTCATTGGATCAAGAGTGAATGGCTCACAACGAGACTGTAAATGGTAATTTTTTTCCTAAAAATTTACTGTGTCTAGTGTCATAATAAAAGTGTTTAGTAAAAAAGGACAGATCCAAAACTCTTCCTGCCTTTTATGTTGGAAATTAGTTTAATATCTACAGTATTGAATACATTTCGTTGGCAAGGAGAATAGTTGGGAGGACCTTCTAAATGTGTGCTGTTGGTTCTGAAAGAACAGATGCTGACATTTCTCCATAAAAATTCGGTAAGTTATGAACTAGAGGAAAAACGGCCTCTAACAGGAGGGCCCCTTCAATATGCGTCCTGTCACAGCTCTGGGACAACGGATCGAAGGGCCTCCTTTCCCACCTGAAGTCTACATTGATCACTGGAATATGAACGTGTTTCTGTTATGAGATGAATGTGATTGATTAAATGGCCTTGATTAGGTATCTTACCTTGGTCTTAAAATTTGTTATCTGTTTTCTTCATTGTATGTGTTTATTAATACCAATAAAAACAGATTATCACACATCTTCCATAAAATGATTGTGAGAGAAATGTCACTTAGTGTGTACGATGATACACCACCTGCAGCAGACATCTTGGGGAATTACATCACTCTAAGTGCGGTACAGGGCGGCTGAGTTCAAGTCCAACTTGACTGATGTGGGCTCCCATAAAAGCTGTTACCAGTGAAGGCGAAAAAAATAAGAATTTGCTCTACTAAGGGAACAAGAAATGAAGTTACAAAACACTTAAATCACATTAATTCCTTCACAGGCCTTTGTCATGCAAGTGTGCCACTTTAATCTAGTCTCTTCATGGGGTGATGTAATACCGTGTAATAATTATTCCAATGTAAATTCATTTATCACAGACATTTTTAAACCACAATAGGACCTCCAATGTCTTATAATACCAATCTTTCCAAAAATACCCTCATTTCTTTCAATCAAGTTTAGTAAAAAGAAGGAATTATAAACATGCAAAGGAAGGGACCCACAGGGGCAAGCTGAGCCCCACGCGGCACCTCTCAGGCTAGACCAGGACCAGCAGTCTCCAGGGTAGTTGGTGACACCACACTCTGCTGTGTCAGGAGGCACCTGGCCCTGTACATCTGTAAACACTCACTGCAGTCTGGTAGTAGACAAACCTATCTTTTCACCTAAAGTGTTTTAATTAGCAGTCAAATTCTGTAAAAATAACTCCAATGGAAGATTAATATAAGCCACATAAAAATGGCCTAATGGAGAAGGCCTACTAACTTAAATAATGAAGAACAGAATGCACAAGGTAGGATCTGTCACTTTCAAAATGTAGGAAGATCTGTGAACTGAATGTATTTCGTCTATGGTATAAATGTACTTCATCACCTATCTGTCTCTGAAGTTGTGAAGAGCTAAGACCAATGAAGTGCAGTGATTATGAAGTGCTTTTTCTGGGTCCTCTTCTGAGCCCAGCCTGGCCAGAGCCCCCTGGGCCACTGCTCCCCCCTCCCACCCTCACAGTGTCAGTGCACAACACTGATGCTTAGGAACAACTGGAAAGAACTTGCTGCCCTTCCCAGTGCACTCTCTCTCTCTCTCTCTCTTCAGCAAGAGCACAAGACCTCAGCCAGGTAAGTGAACCAATATATGAGGCAAGAAAAATTCAATTAAAAAAAATGACAAGGCTAGGGATGCAGCTTGGTGATAGATTATTTGTCTAGCATGCATGCACAAGGCCCTGGGTCCACCCCAGCAACACACGCCCACAAAAACTTATAGACATCTATACAGAGAGATATCTATAAATATATACATCTAGATCTATATCTACATATATGTAATATAAAAACACAAACTTAAGTGAAAGGGCCTAAGAACAGAAACTTATCATTTTTAATATTCGTGGGTAGAACTGCAGATCACCTTCCATTTAACTTTCCAGTATGTGAAACACTTGGACAAGGAAAGATAAAAGGAAAACTAATTTATATAAAATTTGACTTTTTGTGTTTCAGGAGCTTCTGGATAGAAGCTCAGTGAAGAACTGAGTCTGTCCAAATGTAAGAAACACTTAACTACACAAACCAACTGCGGCAAGCTGCAGTCCCTCATGTGTGAGCACTGTGATTAGTCTGACCAGTCAGTCATGGGAAGATCCGTGGAAGGGGCAGTCTATGTTACACTGTCATTGGGTTCAGATCTACTGAGTTCTCCAGACACCCCACCAGACAGCCCAGGTCCCTAGTCCTCACGTTACTGGAAGGCTCAGTCTTCTTCAACGAGAAAACCATAGCAGAGGCCACACCAGAAGTGCTGCCTCTGCCCCAATAGCTAAAAGAGGGACTTTTCAGTCCCTGCCTCACTAACCTGTTCCCATAAAGGCCAAGGTTATCACTTCCTTACAAATATAGAAAAACAGAACCTCAGTCTACAATGAGAAAAACAATCACCAGGATCAAAATAGAGAATTTTAAAATAAGCTCCATGAACAGTCACTAAAATTATGAAACCCAACTACTTCTAAACAAACAAAAAACCCCTCAATCCTGTCTTTTGTGGCCAGTCTGTGCTGTTTTTGGTGATGGCCATCTAATCTAGATGACAGTAACAACTTCTCTACTATTCTCCTCTACGGTGTAGTACTCCCAAGTCCAGAACCCACACGGGGTAGGGAATAGCAGCTCTCTGACCTGACTCCATCGTCAGGAATCTGAGACATGCCAGAACTCAAAGGAATCAAACTTGAATGGAAGAAGATGAAGAAACCTTTGGCTTCTCCGCGCACCCATGAGCCCTTCATCCCACCCAGTGAGGATGTATGGTTGAGCAGTATTAGCACAACCACTGTGGTGGGACGTGTCAGAAGCGGTGCAGGCTTCCTTTGCTGTGAGAAAATACAGTGTGTGGGCTTACAGACAAGACTACTTTACAACAGGCTGATTAAACAATTCATCTCCATCAAGACTGAAGGACACACGTACATTTGCGCATTCGACGTGTGCGTGTATTTATATTCAATGTGCTCAAACACACAAATGGGTGTGCTACTTGTCCCTATTGATAAACTTTGGACAGGAAGACCTAAAACTCATCTACCCCTATGTGGATACCAATGCTATGCTTCTTACGTCTGTTTTTCACTCACACTGCAAGTTTGGTCACTAATGGCCTTCACAGAAATGCCATGGTATCATTATCATTAGTTTACCTCATTCTCAGTTAAGGATGCAGAAGGAGATGAACTTTTGTTAAACCCAAGAGCTGAAGACGTTGCTGCGGGAGCCCGATGTCGCTTCTTCAGTGGTTTGCATGCATCAGACAGATTTTTCGTTGCTGGAAAATAATTTTGTTTTATAAAGTAAAGTTTGAAGTGGTAAACCCTCAACCCGTTTACTGATTTAAATTGCCTCTCAAATAAGAGCAAAAGATGAATATTCTAGGTTCCTCTTTCATACTAAGAATGTCATTTTCTTATCTCTGTCACCTGGCTCCCCAAACCATCAACCCAGGCTCCAGGCACATAGACCAATCAATCCACACTGGGTTTCATATCCCCTGATGGATTATGCTGAGGAAAATTCCAGAAAGATTTCATCCATAAAGAAGTTCAGCACAAAACTCTAAAACAAAGTTTTAAGAAATGTAATTCTTTCGAATAATCAGTTCAGTGTTTAAATTGATAATCTGAAAAAAATTAGCTGATTTCTAAAAACCAGCAGAGCACCTCAGGCAATAAGGGGAGCATCCCCTCCTACTTTTCACTCCAGTATCCCTAATCTGTGTTCATTTTCCTTTAAGGATATGCCAGCATCCTCTGATAAATCATCAGTGGATTTCAACGCGATAATTCATGAAAAGGTCAAAGGGTGTGATGACCCCTTTTATTCTTTGAATAGCTATTTTTCATGTTTTAAGCTAGTCTTTTTGACAAGTGAGACAGAAACAACTAGTCATTACTTTTAGCCATCAGTGCAGAACACCAGGGTCCTAAAGTCAGGTGGAATTTGTAGTGACAACTGGTGCCCTCACGTAAGAGCCCTGTTAGGGATTTCATCACTCTGTAGTGAAATTTCAAGTTGAAAACAACAAAAATCGATAGTAATTTAAATTGAACTGAATCCTTGCGATTTTCATGTTCCATAGGCCCTTCTTTCCCTGTCCTTGGCTCCAGCTGCACTGCTGTTTCCTCTTCTCCAGCTCGGCTCTCCTTTATCCTTTCTCCCTAAGGCCTGGACTGCACCTGCTCCCCTATCAGCCGGAGCCCCCATAGTCAGCAAGGAGGAGTCTGACACACGTACCTGCCTGGCTCTTCAAGGAGGAGGCTGCCTCCATGGCCTTGTAAGAGCTTGCTCGGGCTGTTTTGTCGGAGATCGTCTCTCTCTGTTATTAAATGGGGACGGAGAAGGGAGAAAAGAATAAAGAAAACAAAGAAAAATGTTCTTCTAATATGAAAGGACAGAGTTTCTGAAATTTCTCACCACAAAATTTCCTGCTACACGGGCTGGGAAGGTGGCTCAGTGGTAGAGCGCTTGCCTTGCATGCATGAGGCCCTGGGTTCGATTCCTCAGCACCACATAAGCAAAAAGAAAAAAAGCCGGAAGTGGCGCTGTGGCTCAAGTGGTAGAGCGCTAGTCTTGAGCTGAAGAGCTAAGGAGACAGTGGCCAGGCCCAGAGTTCAGGCCCCACGACCGGACCAAAAAAAAAAAAAACAAAAAAAACAAAAAAACAAAACTTCCTGCTACATCTGCACATGCAAGTGGCCCAGCTGCCTAACCTCTGGACTTTTTCACACGATGGGCTGGCTGATCGTTTGTGTGTGTGCAGTCCTGAAGCTTGAACTTAGGGACTATGTACTGTCTCTGAGCTTTTTGGCTCAAGGTTAACTCTTTACCACTTGAGCCATAGCGCCTCTTCCAGCTTTCTGATGGTTAACTGTAGATAAGTATCTCACGGACTTTTCATGCTCTGAATGACTTTAAACCATGATCCTCAGATCTCAGCCTCTTGAGTAGCTGGAATTATAGGCATGACCCACCAACACCTAACAATTAAAAAATAAAAAAGAAAGAAAAAATAGAAATAGAGATAGAATTTGGGGGGGGGGGGGGGTTAGCTGTAGGTCTTGAACTCTAGGCCTGGGTGCTGTCCCTGAGCTCTTCTGCTCAAGGCTAGCGCTCTAGCACTTGAGCCACAGCCCACTTCCCACTTTTTCTGTTTATGTGGTACTGAGGAATCAAACCTAGGGCCTCATGCATGTGAGGCAAGCGCTCTACCACTGAGACACCTTCCTAGCCCAGAAATAGAAAAATTAAAAACAAAACAAAACACACTAGGCTGTGAGCAAGCCAAATAAAAACTCATACCCAGTGAGTCTTTACTTTTGATTTCTCTGGCTGGGAAGGAGGCTTAGTGGTAGAGTGCTTTTCTAGAATGCATGAAGCCCTGGGTTCGATTCCTCAGTACTACATAAACAGAAAAATGGCACTGTGGCTCAGGCTCAAGTGGTAGGGTGCTAGCCTTGAGCAAAAGCAGCTCAGGACAGTGCACAGGGCCTGAGTTCAAGCCCCAGGACTGACCTCCCCCCCCCCCCCCCCCCCCCAATTTTTTTTTTCCTCACAATTGCGAACAGGAAAAGAAAGGAAAGAAGGGAAAGAGAAGAAAGGGAAGGGCGAGCGCTCTACCATTTGATCTTGATCCACAGGGCCACTTCCGGTTTTCTAGTGGATGATTGGAGAGAAGAGTCTCATGGGGGCTGGGAAGGTGGCTCGGTGGTAGAATGCTTGCCTTACAGCCGGGCGCTGGTGGCTCACGCCTGTAATCCTAGCTACTCAGGAGGCTGAGATCTGAGGATCGCGGTTCAAAGCCAGCCCGGGCAGGAGAGACCGTGAGACTCCTATCTCCAATAAACCACCAGAAAACCGGAAGTGGCGCTGTAGCTCAAGTGGTAGAGCGCTCGCCTTGAGCTGAAGAGCTGAGGGACAGCGCCCAGGCCCAGAGTTCAAGCCCCACGGCCGACCAAAAAAAAAAAAAGAATGCTTGCCTTACATACATGAGGCCCTGGGTTCGATTCCTCAGCACCACATGAGCAGAAAAAGCTGGAGGTGGCACTGTGGCTCAAGTGGTAGAGTGCTTGCTTTGAGCTGAAGAGCTGAGGAAACAGTGCCCAGGCCCAGAGTTCAGGCCCCACAACCAAAAAAAAAGTCTCACGGTTATTCTTGCCTGGGCTGGCTTTGAACCATGATCCTCAGAATTCAGCCTCCTGAGTAGCCAGGATTACAGGCATGAGACACTGGCACCTGGCAAATTTTCTTTATAGTGTACTATTTTCTGAATTGTTAATAAAAACATTTCCACCTACATACTGTGAACTTTAATCTTCCAAATACTTAAGGCCACATATTTTTTAGAGATATAATTTTTCAAATACCACAAGGATGTCTTTTATTAGTCCATCAACACTAGTAAGTCACAGAAAGAAAATGTAGATGCTTAGAACCCTCTACAAAAATTAGTCCATCTGTCTCTTCAAGTTTCAAAAATCTCAGATTTGATAAAAGAAAAAGAGATTGAGAGTCTAGCTAATAGGCTTGGGAGTAAGCCTAATTATTTGCTATAAAAAAGCTCAAGTGGGGCTGGGAAGGCGGCTCAGTGGTAGTGTTTGCCTGCATGCATGAGGCCCTGGGTTTGATTCCTCAGCACCACAAAAACAGAAAAAGCTGAAAGTGGCATGGTGGCTCACGTGGTAGAGTGCTAACCTTGAGCTGAAGAGTTGAGGGACAGCGCCCAAGCCCAGAGTTAAAGCCCCACAACTGACCAAAAAAAGCTCAAATACTGGCTGTGAATGGGAAATTTCCCACTAAAGGAAAGCTACTTGAAGGAATAAACTGTGTTAACGTTGAGCAAGAAGTTGCTTTCAGTAAAGGTATATAGAAATGATTTTATATAAATTTCAGGGCTGGGAAGGTGGCTCAGTGGTAGAGTGCTTGCCTGGCATACATGAGGCCCTGGGTTCAATTCCTCAATACCATATAAGTAGGAAAAGCTGGAAGTGGTGCTGTGGCTAAAGTGGTAGAGCGCTAGCCTTGAGTTGAAGACCTGAGGGACAGTGCCCAAGCCCAGAGTTCAAGCCCCACAATCGACAAAAAAAAATTTCAGCCTGGTTCATGCCTGTCATCCTAGCCATTCAGGAGGCTGAGATCTGAGGATCGTGGTTCAAAGCCAGACTGGGCAGTAAAGTCCATGAGACTCTTATCTCCAATTAAACACTAGAAAACCAGAAGTGGCGCTGTGGCTCAAGTGGTAGAGCACTAGCCTTGAGCTGAAGAGCTGAGGGACAGTGCCCCCCCCCAAAAAAAAGTATTTCCTGCTATCTTCAATCTCGACTGACTGATTCACTGTAGATGTGACCAATGGCAAGGGCCCCACAGTACTGTGTTGACCAGGCAGATACTGTAGGGATCAAGTGTTACCTTAAACTACAAACACAGCAAGGAAAAAGTAAGACACACAACCAGGTTCACGAATGTAATCCTAGCTACTCAGGAGCCTGAGATCTGAGGATTGCAGTCAAAACTAGCCCTCAAAAGAAAGTCTGTGAAACTTCCAAAATAAGCTGTTAAGTGAAACTGTGGCTCAAGTAGTGGAGCTGAGCAAAAAATGCTCAGGGACAGTGTCCAGACCCTGAGTTCAAACTCCAGGAACAACATTAAAAAAAACAAAAAAGAATAAAAGAATAAAAATACACAGATGTGGTCCACATAGTTATACTTCAACAAGACATAAATACGTGAGATTTATTTTCTATTCCTCAAACTAACACAAAATAACAAAGGCAAATTAGTTAAAAGCAGTGAAAGATAGCATCAAGCTATCTTTTGGAACTATTTCTGAAAGTAACTTCAAATACAAAGAACAAAGTCTATGTAAATTCTCAGTTTGCAAAAAAGTAAACTAGACATCTGAAAAAGCCGAAATAAATGGTGTTTGGAAAGGGCACATATTTACTACATATCTGAGCATCACCTGATAGACAGAATATCCAGTTTGTCTGTCTACATGGATCCTGGTAAGCTACATTCCCTTCCAGGTACTAGGCAAACTGTCAGATGCTGAGGATATACAACAGGCTTAAGGTCCCGAGCTGCACATGTATCTGCTCTGAGCTGTCCCTTTTTTGTGACATCAGTGCTGCTGTATCTATCTGCCCAAGATTCCCAGTGAGTAAACAAGATCATGAATTACTAACAAAGTTAGTTCATAAAATCTGTTTCTGATGAATTCTGTAACTATTTTTATTGAAGTATTCAAATATATATGATTTTCATGTTACCTCATTATTTATACATTATAAGCCCTATTGACTTTCTTTTCCAGTATTGGGGACTGAAGTAGGGCCTAGAGAACACTCTTCTACTGAGCTATACCCTACTAACCTAATTTTACCCATTCTGAATGTCAAAGCATTTGGATGCTATATTCTTCTTCTTTTTTTTTTTTAAGATTAAGAACAAAGAGAAGCACTTATCTTTGCATAACTTTTAAAAAATATTTTTAAATATTTTTTTTTATTGGTCAGTTGTGGAGCTTGAACTCTGGCCCTGGGCGCTGTCCCTCAGCTCTTCAGCTCAAAGCTAGTGCTCAACCACTTGAGCCACAGCGCAACTTCCAGCTTTTTCTGCTGATGTGGTGCTGAGGAATTGAACTCAGGGCCTCATACATGCCAGGCAAGCACTCTATCACTGAGCCACCTTCCCAGCCCCTAGTTTTTATTTTTATTGTAATTATAACAGTAATGTACAGAGGTGGAGTCTGTATTCCTGAATGATGAGTAGTTTCTGTGCCATCCCTGGTGGGTAATAAGTGTGTGCTTTCTCCAGCAGCCTCATTAATGGACCTTCACGCTAACAGCACCCTGGAAAGGGCCTCAGAGCCTCTGTCTTCCTCACTTCTGGGTCACAAGAATTACATGGCAAGTGTTCTTATGGGGCAGGCAAACCTAAAGCAATTACCTTCCGAAGACCGTGTTTGTCTATCCTGAGTCTTTTCCTGGGTGTGTCCACATCGACATCTTCTGGAGGGTCCTCTGTCCTCTTTGTGTGATTTCTTTTTTTCCCACTGACGTTACCTGAAAATAAGGATTGGAGGTGGGAAGATACATGAAAACCACTGCCAGTGCTGCCTTCCAGTGTACTACCAATGCTTCTCACAGTTTCTGTACACATAGCCACACTGCTCATTTCCAGGCCTGTGTTTATTGGATCAAACCTCTTCACAGTAAAAATCTAGGGACTAAAATACTTTGATCTAGTTATTATTACAGTGGTATTTATTACATTTTCACTTTGATGTACTATAGCATTGAATTTAAATATAAGTGCTTTGAAGAATCATTTACTGCTGAGGCTGGTAGGTTACTCCAACACTTGGGAGGCTGAGGCAGGAGGATCTCAAAGTTTGAAGCCAATATGGGCTACACAGTAATACTCCTTGCTTGCTTGCTTGTTTGCTTTTTGTTATTGTTGTTTTGCCAGGCCTAGGACTTGAACTCAGGGCCTGGGCACTGTCCCTGAGCTTTATTTGCTCAAGGCTAGCACCCAAGCACTTGAGCCACAGCACCATTTCTGTGTATGGTGCTAAGGAATTGAACCCAGGGCTTCATGCATGCTAGACAAGCATTCTACCACTAGGCCACATTCCCAGGGCCACAGCAATACTTTTTTTTTTTTTTTTGGTCATGGGGCTTGAACTCTGGGCCTAGGCACTGTCCCTCCGCTCTTCAGCTCAAGATGAGCACTCGACCATTTGAGCCACTGTGCCATTCTGGTTTTCTGGTGGTTTATTGGAAATAAAGTCTCACAGACTTTGCTGCCCGGGCTAGCTCTGAACTATGATCCTGAGATCTCAGCCTCCTGAGTATAGCTAGGATTAGCGGCGTGAGCCACTGGCGCCAGGGTTAGCCTTTCTTGAAAAAAATAAAAATCAAGGGCTGGAAAGGTAGCTCAGTGGTAGAGCTTTTGCCTTGCATGCCTGAGGCCCTGGGTTCGATTCCTCAGCACCACATAAGCAAAAAGAAAAAAGCCAGAAGTGGCTCTGTGGCTCAAGTGGTAGAGCGCTAGCCTTGAGCTGAAGAGCTGAGGGACAGTGCCCAGGCCCAGAGCTCAAGCCCCACAACGGACCAAAAAAAAAACAAAAAACAAAAAACAAAAAAACAAAACAAGCTCAGTGCTGGTGGCTCACACCTGTAAACCTTGCTACTTAGGAGGCTAAGATCTGAGGATTGCAGTTTGATGCCAGCCACAGGAGGAAAGTCTATAAGAATCTTATCTCCAATTAATCACAGGAAAAGTCAGAAATGGCACTGTAGTTCAAGTGGTAGAGTGCTAGCTTTGAGCAAAAGAAGCTCAGGGACAGTGCCCAGGCCCAGAGTTCAAGCCCCACGACCAAAACAACAACAACAACAAAAAACCTCTAACCCCACAAAAAGGTGTCTAAATAGCACTGACCTAAAAAAAAATAAGATAGAAGACAAAAGTGCAAATTCTAGAGATAATTTGAACCTGCAGTATTTCTTTTAAACAAACCCTGGCCAGGTGTGGGTGGCTCACACCTGTCATCCTAGCTACTCAGGAGGCTGGGGGCTGTGGTTCAAAAAGCCAGCCCGGGAAGAGGCGTGCAGAGCAGAGGACAAGAGCAGACACTCAGCCTGCGCGCGAGGCACCAGGACCAGGTAGCCCAGCAGACCCACCAGAGTGTCATCACCTGCTTTTCCCTCATTAGCTTTCCATTTACTGGTGAGCCTCAGGTTTCCCACCACAGAATAGTTCTCAGTCCTTTCCGAAGGTATACCCTGTTCTGAGCACCGCCCCTTCACGGGGGGGGGGGGGGGGGGGGGGGTGGCAGGCGTCCACACAGACGTAAGCAACAGGCACCAGTGACACACACCTGTAACCCTGCCCGCTCAGCAATACCACGGTTCAAAGCCAGCCTGGGCAGGAAAGTCCATGAGACTCATCTCCAATTAAGCACCAAAAAGCTGAAAGTGGAACTATGGCTCAAGTGGTAAAGCACCACTCTTTGAGCAAAAAAGCTGAGGAAGAGCGCCCAAGCCCTGAGTAGAAGCCCCAAGACCAGCAGAAGGAAGGAAGGAAGGAAGGAAGGAAGGAAGGAAGGAAGGAAGGAAGGAAGGAAGGAAGGAAGGAAGGAAGGAAGGAAGGAAGGAAGGAAGGAAGGAAGGAAGGAAGGAAGGAAGGAAGGAAGGAAGGAAGGAAGGAAAAGACAGAAGAAAAAAGGGGAAAAAAAAGAAAAAGAAAAGAAGAAAACAACATGGACATCGGGCTTCCAGCACTGAATGGACCTGACAATTGGCAGTGATCTTTGAATTAGCACCAGGGCTGCCTAGAAGGTCAGGGTCAAGGCCATCCAAGAACCACACACACCTAAAACACCCCAAGGCTGGACACTCACGTCTACTGCGTGAGGACAGCTTCCCATCTTAGCATCAATGGCAAAATGTGACACCCACAATCAAATACACTTTTTCTTCAGAGAACCTGACCTGGCTTCAGGAATGATCGGCTCTTCTTTAAATATACCAACCATTAAAAAGAAATGCCTTCCTAGATTTAGTGTACTGCTGCAGGGTGAGGTGACCTTGCCTTTAAAGAAAAACCCACGAACCCTAAACATCATGCTACTTTAGATCAGAGAGTCTGAGCAGAACTCAAGATTAATCTAAGGAGGTGGTGAGGAGATCCAGCAAGTCCTAGACCAGGTCCCGGGTGTGCGCCACATGGAGTGCTGCAGGGGGAAGGTTCCTGTGCAGGCTTCTGCCTTCCTCCTAGCTATGTCTTCTAATTCTTAGGCCACTCCAAAACTCAAACAATCAAGACACAGCTATTGCTGTTGTTATTTCTTTGGCGGCTTGGGATTTAAACTCAAGGTCTTTACACTTGTCAGGCAGGCAGGCACACTATGACTGGAGTCATGCCCTCAGACATTTTTCTAATTTTTCAAATAATCTCTCTAGTTTTTTTCCCAGGCTGACCTAGACCACAATCTTTCTAATCTCTGCCTCCTGAGTTGCTGGGGTCATAGGCGTGAGCCACAACACCCAGCACTTACCAGAGCATATTGTTAGTACCTACTCTTAGATTAAAATGGCGGTTTTCGGGCTGGGAAGGTGGCTCAGTGGTAAAGTGCTTGCCTCGCATGCATGAGGCCCTGGGTTCGATTCCTCAGCACCACATAAGCAAAAAAAGAAAGCCGGAAGTGGCGCCGTGGCTCAAGTGGTAGAGCGCTAGCCTTGAGCTGAAGAGCTGAGGGACAGTGCCCAGACCCAGAGTTCAGGCCCCATGACCGACCAAAAAAAATAAAATTAAAATTAAAAAATGGCAGATTTCCACTCATGGTGTGTCCAAGCCCACGGAAATCACAACTGATCACTATCACACATCCTCTCCAAGTCTTACAGCCTTGTGTCGCTCACCTCACCACTGCCCAAAGCAAAGCAGCACTTTTGTATTTTTTAAACTCAAAACCTAGGAAGAACAAAAAGATACCCAAACCGAAGATCAATCTACCACTTCTCAAGTAATCAGACCAGGCACTGCCACTCCAGGCTGAGCTCCCTACTTGTGGAGGCTGCCCCTCGTGAGGGCACAGCAGAAGCAGACACAGAATACAGGCCTGATTTACCCCTCTAAGCTAAGAGTGCTACGAAGCTGCCCGGCTCCCTTCTGTTCTCTTCTACACAACTCCTTCAGCTGTGTTTGCTACGTGGCTACCTTCCACACATCTATCTAAGTAGAGAACACAGCACAGTGGTAGGTTTACCAGCGTCTTCTTCACCCTGGGCAGACGTCACTAGGGCAAACTTGGTGTTATAGCGTGCTTTCTGCTTTTCATTCAGCATGTTCCACTGGGATCCAAGCAGTTCTTCAATCTCCTCGCCTGCGGCATCTGGGTGCTCTGCCACTACCTAGTAAATGGCGGAAAGAAAAGAAAAAAAAATCAATATATATCCTACAAAATTAAGAAAAGTGGGGGAGGGGAGGGTTGGGTGAGGATCCTGATAAGAGGTGACATTAATCAAGACATGCTGTGTTCATAAACTGCTTGTTGAATGGCAACGCCTCTGTACAGCTTAAGGTAATAAAAATGAGCCGGGCGCTGGTGGCTGATGCCTATAATCCTAGCTACTCAGGAGGCTGAGATCTGAGGATTGCGGTTCAAAGCCAGCCTGGGCAGGAAAGTCCATAAGACACGTATCTCCAATAAACCACTAGAAAACCGGAAGTGGCGCTGTGGCTCAAGCAGTAGAGAACTTGCCTTGAGCTGAATAGGATAGCGCCCAAGCCCAGAGTTCAAGCCCCACGACCAACCAAAAAAGAAAAAAGAAGAAAAAAAAAAGATAATAAAAGTTTTGTTTTTTTTTGTCAGTCATGGGGCTTGAACGCTGTTCCCTGAGCTCTTCAGCTCAAGGCGAGTGCTGTATCGCTTGAGCCACAGCGCCACTTCCGGTTTTCTAGTGGTTTTATTGGAGATAAGAGTCTCACAGACTTTCCTGCCCGGGCTGGGTTTGAACCGCAATCCTCAGATCTCAGCCTCCTGAGTAGTTAGTGTTACAGGTGTGAGCCACTGGTGCCCAGCAATAAAAGTTTTTAAGTCAGAATGTTTTATGATGTACAAAAAAGTGACTGGAAATTCAAAGGTCAGTAATCATAAACAAAATGACATTGGAATTTGGCTACAGCATTCACTGATGTCCTGTCTATGGTTGTTTTCACAATGTTATGTTTCACAACATTTTCAAGACCCTGTGAAAATCTGTCAACTGAGAAGGAGCACTTAACTAGCACATTCTAGAAGCCGGCCACGTTCCAGAACTGGCTCCTTTACTGAGAAGTTTTGGGAAGGTGCCATCTCTACCTCTCCTGTGTGAAGTAAGGGCAGAAACAATTCACCTGGCAGGGTAAGCCATCAGGAGGCTAATATTGGCTGATTACCATCACCACATAGATGATGAACCACCTACCCAACCACCACAGTAACCTATCCCCGCACCCCAAAGCCCCCGCTCCCTGTAGACCGCTTCCCTACAGCCTTCGAAGGCCTCTACCAACTGCCCTCCTGCTGCCTGAGTGGGTCATATGTCTGTTCCCTCTCTTGCCCTCTTGCCTTTTAGCTGGACAGCAAAACCCCGACCAATATTTACCACCTGCCTTTCCAGATAAAGTGAACACCACCTCCCACCGCCACAGGTTGGAAAGGATGCCCTTCTCAGTGTGAAGTCCCGCTCCGGCCCTTCCACTAAAACAGTGCTCTTCCCAGGACCCCACCATTATCCCACCCCTGCCTGGGCATTCCAAGGCCCACATGCAACCTAATTCCAGTGCTTATTCATTCATTATTTTAGCCAGGCAGGAATCTGTCTTCTGACTTCCACCTCACCCACTACATCCAAATCACAGCCCTCAACGCCCGAGATGCCAGGATCAAGGCCTTACCACCAGCCAAGTTTGCAAGCAAGGCCTCCGCTCCACAGGGCACACTCAACTTGTGGACCCACAACCTCCTTGGCCACCTGCCTCTGTCCTGATGCCTCTTACCACCCACCTCTGGCCCAGCCTCTCAAGTAGGGTGAGTCCTTACTTACCACATTAAACAAGATTCCCTAAATCCCTACTCTTCTTCTTGCTTCCATCTCCTGCCTCTCCCAACCCATACCAAAGATCAGCAATGACAGCCTTGTCCACACGTGGGACAGAACCACTGCTCTCCCTTGACTTCTGAGATCCCGATCTCTAGAGGTGATTCTCCCCCATCAGTCCCCGTAGGCTCCATACTCCCCCCTCAAGCCCTCTTCTCCACGACCAGGCTCAACCGTACATCCTTACAGGTTTCTACTAGCATACTTCTGAGAAGTATTTCTAAAATACTCTGCCAGGAACAGCAGCCACCATCCCTAGACCAGGGTACTTCTCTGCTTTGTTTTCCTCTCTCAGCATCTTATGCAAAAAAGGGAGCGGAGAAAGTGTTAAAATCTAGGTAATGAAGACAAGTGCTGACTCATGATGCCTCTATCGTGGGATGGTGTGAAAGCGATACCCACTACACTTTGAATCGGGTCCTCTCTCACCATGCTGAGCCGAGGCAGTAAACGCAGCTTCCAGGCAGGTCTGAGTTCCTGGGAAAACCAAGCTCCACAGAGTGCTACAGGGCTGAGTGTGATGCTGTTTGTTCAGCGAGTTAGATGCAGTCAGCGCACTTGCCACTAAGCAGATTTCCAGTTGACAATGGGTTTAGCAGAAGATGACCCCACCATACATGGAAAAGTACCTACAGAAGCTGGGCGACGGTGGCTCACACCTGTAATCCTAGCTACTCAGGAGACTGAGATCTGGGGGTCGCAGTTCAAAGCCATCCCGGGCAGGAAAGTCCATGAGACTCTATCTCCAATAAAAACCACTAGAAAACTGGAAGTGGTGCTGTAGCTCAAGCGGTAGAGTGCTCGCCTTGAGCTGAAGAGCACAGGGACAGCGCCCAGGCGCAGAGTTCAAGTCCCATGACCAACCAAAAAAAAAAAAAAGTATCTACAGAATGATGGCTACATGTTCCAAACACAACACATACACACAAATATGAGCCAAGTCCCTACTCCCTTCCTTTCTGCCCGCATCACCTTGCTAGTACAGGCAGTGCCCACAAACCTGTAAGCTTAATCGAGTCAACTGTAGAGCAGGGGTAGTTTATACTCTCAAGAACGAAACTATGAATAAAGGATACAATTTTGCAAATAATATAATTGCAAGGTAAGCACTCAATAGTAAACTATTCTTTTATTTTTAGCAAGCTATTTCAAACATACCACAAAATATTGAGAATAAACAAAATGAATGTGGGAAACCAAATGCTCACAGGCTTGCACAGCAACTAAAACACGAGCAATACCATTCTAGACTACTGCTCCTCACAGGTTGTCCTACAGGTTGCACCCTTCCTTGGGTACACCTTTTCAGAGCTCACTTTTTTGCCTTTAGACTTCAGTGAAGAGTTCTGTGGTACCCATACTCTCACAGACTGACAGACACCATGAGCCCACCTGTTGGTACGCATGGCCCTAACGAATCCATGCGGTCTACGGAACCAGTGTCATTTGGAGAAACGGTGGTAAGAGACTTCTCAGCCCAGGCTGTGAAGGACATCACTTTGCTCTCTCTTGGATTACCCACTTGGTAGGAAACCAACCCTCTGTCACGAGGACAGCCCAGTAACCCTGAGGCACCCAGACAGTACATCTTCTGGCTCTAGCTGACACCTTATGGCAACCTCAAGCAACCCTAAGGCACAGCCATATAGCAAAGACATTCCTAAATTCTTGACCCACTGAAAACTGTTGTTTTAACCTGTTAGTTTGGAGGTAACTTGTTTGATATCAATATGTAACTAAAAAGGCATCTACAACTGAGACAAGCATTGGTTCAATATAAGTGGACCTATGAATATTAGAATCTGAGCCACATATGTAGCCACGCTCAGTACTAGGGAACTGAGGCAGGAGGACCAATCACCAGTTTGAGGCTAGTCTGGGCTATCTAGTAAGATTCTGTCTCAAGAATCAGGGTAAGTAGAAAAGGTTTTAAATGAAAACTCAGGCCAAAAAGAATTTGCTAGACATTATCTACCCCAAGCTCCTAGAGCTGATCAATAACTTTGGCAAAGTAGCAGGATACAAAATCAACCCACAGCCGGGCACCGGTGGCTCACGCCTGTAATCTTAGCTACTTAGGAGGCTGAGATCTGAGGATCTCGGTTCAAAGCTAGCCCGGGGCAGGAAAGACCGTGAGATTCTTATCTCCAATAAACCACTAGAAAACCGGAAGTGGCGCTGTGGCTCAGGTGGTAGAATGCTCGCCTTGAGCTGAAGAACACAGGGACAACGCCCAGGCCCAGAGTTCAAGCTCCACGACCAACCAAAACAAACAAACAAAAAAATCAACCCACAAAGATCAGTAGCTTTTCTATATACCAACAAAGAACAGTAAGAGAAGGAAATCAGGAAAAAAAATTCCATTTGGAATAGCCTCCAAAAAAAAAAAAAACAACTAGGAATAAATATAACCAAGGAAGCCAAACTACAAAAATCTCAAGAAATCAAAGAAGGGGCTGGGAAGGTGGCTCAGTGGTAGAGCGCATGCCTTGCAAGCCTGAGGCCCTGGGTTCCATTCCTCAGCACCACATAAGCAAAAAGAAAAAAGCCGGAAGTGGCACGGTAGCTCAAGTGGTAGAGCGCTAGCCTTGAGCTGAAGAGCTGAGGGACAGTGCCCAGGCCCAGACTTCAGGCCCCATGACCGGACCTCCCCGCCCCCCCCCCCCCAAAAAAAAGAAATCAAAGAAGATATTAAGAAATGGAAAGACCGCTTACATTCATGGATAGGTAGGATTAATGTCATGAAAATTGCCACACTGGGCTGCAAAGGTGGCTCAGTGGTAGAGCGCTCGCTTTGCATGCATGAGGGCCTGGGTTTGATTCCTCAGCACCACATAAGCAAAAAGAAAAAAGCCAGAAGTGGCGCTGTTGCTCAAGTGGTAGAGCACTAGCCTTAAGCTGAGGAGCTGTGGGACAGCGCCCAGGCCCAGAGTTCAGGCCCCACGACTGGACCCAAAAAATAAAATAAAAGAAAGAAAGAAAATGACCACAGTGCCAAAGGTAAGCTACAAAGTCAATGCAATCCCCATCAAAATCCCAATGAGATAGAGACAATCACTGAGATAAGAAAAAACAATCCAAAATTTAATATGGAACAAGGAAAGATTTCAAATAGCCAAAGCAATTTTAGGCAAAAAAAGGAAAAAAGAAAAAGAAAAGGCACAGCAATGCTTGTGGTATCACAATCCCAGACCTCAAGCTCTACTTCAGAGTTTTAATAACAGCTTGGTACTAGCTCAAAAACAGGCCCGAAGATCAGTGGAACAGCC